GACCTCGCTGACGCAACAGGTAGATCTTTACTGTGTGAAACCAGTTGAATTAAGTTTTAAGGGTAAGATCTTTACTGCCTTTTACTGTGTGAAACTAGTTGAATTAAGTTTTAAGAGTAGATCTTTACTGCCTTTTATTGTGTAAAACCCACAGACCAAATATATAAATGTACCAAAGATTATAACATTCAATCGTTTTAGTTCCACTAACGAACCTTTACGATGGTATGCGATAATACCCACAAAATTGAATTAATATTATGTTGAATCACGAATGTTGATTGATCCTACAAAATCTACGCATTTAATTATTCTCGTAAAAAAGTATAATAAATATAAACGACTGTAAGAAAGAACACGGAGGAATATAAACAACAATGAATAAGATATAAGTATTAGTATTTCCATTAATTTGGTGGCAAGTAATTTTAGTTACTGACATGTATGATCATTATGTCCTCAGCGGTAAATCCGAGGGGTTATAACACTAAAAATCGGATTTCGATAAATGTGGTGTAAACAACTAGCCCATGGCCAGGTGGTTGGGGCACTCGACTCGCAATCTGCGGGTTCGAATCCTCGCCACACCGAAACATGCTCACCCGGTGTCCGAACTAGGACGCCAGTCTTACTCCCTACATAATTTGGAGGTGTGAGAAACAGCATACGAAACTACAACAAAAAAGAAACTAGCCCATTGCGTAGTTTCGTTCTTGGTAACAAATAAACAAAACATGATCATCGTGACTTAAAGTTTTACATGGTAAGTAAGAACATTAAAATTCACACACAATATAGATTTCACTGTTTTAAGTTTCTACAAGGAAACACGGCAAAACTTCGTTTTGAGAGATAGACAAAAAATCATATTAATATTTCGTTTTTATAAATTACATTCTATATTATATCAATTAAGCAACTCTTCGAGCACACCGAAGGGGTCGATTATAAATTTTCATTATGTAATGTCCTCCGATTCAACAGAGTTAAGTATGGATTTACAACGCTAAAATCCGGGGTTAGATTTCCCGCAGTGGATACAGCAGATAGCCAAATGTAGCTTTGCTTTAAAACAAACAAACATTATATGATGATAAATACCTGGCTTACCCGATCACAATAAATTTTCACCAATTATCGATCTGCGTTACCTTCTAGTGGATAGAACCTAAAATCTCATTCTTGTGTGTGTGTGTGTTAGCTAGCGTTTCTCTGTGTGGACACGTGCAGCTTTGTAGTAAAAAAAAATTAAGAATAAAAACTAGGAATTTGCCCCTAGTGACCAGAGCTCGAAACTTCGCAATATAAACCAATTAGTCTTGAATTAAACGTGAGGAAATCCTCAATAACCGTGGCTGTAATTAGATCTCCAATCGGTCAAGAGATGGAGTTATGAGCTGAGTTTGTACTTGAAAAAAAAAAAAAACATTCTATTATCCGCTATGCCGCGGCTTAAAAGAAAGCCATAAGAGAATATTTTTTTAAATCTGTTAAAAAAAATTATACGGATGCTACATCTCATATTAGAACTGCTGAAAACACCTGTAATGGACACTTTTGTTCAGGTGTATCGTGGTATTTGTAAATTAATATATTTTTTTTACGAGTGTTCCCTGGAGGTGCTGTTCTACTTAAAAACCTGCGGTGATCTGTATTTTCTATTCAAAGATTAAAAGAAGAATTAGTACTAATACAATGTATCGGTGATTGGGATATTCTCATCACTAGTATTTTACAAATAAAAATGAGTATAAAACCATAAGCTACATCATATTTAGAAAACCGAAATTACTTGAAACATTACAAATTTATCACATCATTTGCACCGTCCTGAAATGTGTATGTTCATTGTTCCAAGTTGTGAGGAAGTCGTCGTACATTAATTAATAATAAATACCCGTAAATAAATATTTATAACAATCTGTTTAATTCATGCTGTACTTTTGCAAAGAACCAAATATTCTTTAGTTCAAACTTATTCGTCGTATGAATAAGCTAGTGAATTTGATACGACGCATACGATAAGGTTTTAATAAGCAAATTGCCTTAAAACATTACAAATCGATCTAGAGTATTTGGCGCTACAAAATAATGTTACGTCTCCGTTTGTTAATTGATTTTCCGTAAATTCGTTTTGACGAAACTTTAGCGACACAAGTCCTTACTTAATAAAACTGGTTTATTCTTTCCGAATATAACTTTACGATACACTCAACTTCAACAGTCGCGCTATAACAAACTATAATAACGACGTTAACTTCAACAATACTTTCTGACTGCAGATCAATTACTCACTGTCTACACACACTATTTGTCACGTTGTCACCCTCTTATATATATATATACCAGACTACCCTATATCTAGTAATCTCCCGAAGGTTCGAGAGAACGAGTCACGTGACCTCGCTGACGCAACGATAAAATTACCGGATTTTATTGATATTCTAATACTGGTATTTAGAATCTGAATGGCACTTTGTGCGATAAATGGATGGTCTAAGCTGCCATGTCAGAGACTCCTATGATTTTAACACACACAACCCTAATTTAGAAATACTGTTCACAGAAAAGGCAAATCAAACTGAGCCATATCGAGGCTTGTATCTTTCGATCGCGGTTCGGCAGGAAAACATCAACCCATCCCTAGCCACATTTCAGAATATTTTTTTCGTGTTGTTGAGACCTTTTAACAAATCGATACTTATTTCCTTCCAATGTAACCCTCAGAAATTACTTTATAAATGTGCATGAATAGTGATAAAAAAAAAAGAATTAACATGTTTCGACGAGAGCGGCAGATAAAATGTGTTTTGATGACTAGGCATTATTTCGTTATAATACTTGGTTGCGCAAAAACTTATTTTTTGCTTGTTTTTGTTAATTGAATTTCGTGCAAAGCTACACGAGGCTGTCACCAATTTTGAAGTGATAAGCTGGAAGAAAGGCAAATAGTCAACATCACCAGCCGCCAAC